TATACATAGAATGCTTGAGCTGATTCCGATTAAAATTAATTTATTTACAAATATTTAAGGCCTTCAAAAATTGCTATTAAAATTACACATGCAGTAGTCAATACTAACATGTACATAACACACCACTTACCGTCATCATCGTTCAGCCAATGCAACACAGCACTAATAATGTCTTGTCTTCGTCTTAAGGCCCAGTTCATTGTACTAAGAGAGACAGAAAGAGATGGTAATTTTAATTATGCAGCAATGTTGATCTTTAAACACTTACTTGTTCTAATTGGACATTTTCTAGCTCTCTTTTTAATTATTTGTATCTCTTCATCATTTGTCACCTACACAATATATGATATATCCAAATTACTTACCAGAAAGGCACCCCATTCTTTCTCACTCTCTCCCCTTCAACTGTACGTGCACTGCAGTGTACACCGTGTCTAGATACACAATAAAAATGATAACAATGTTCATGTATAAATTAATGTACATGCATAATATGTAGGTATTTTACAGTTGCTTACTGACACCAAGCTTGAGTTAGTATGAGGAAAGACAAACACAAAAAGAGGGACATTAGGAGGCAAAGATAAACCTATAGTAACATTAAAACACGTCATCTTTAAGGAATAATTATTATAATACTATTATAGCAAATAATACTTAGACAATGCCAAAAATAAGCCCAAGACCAAACATGCATACAAAATTTGTCATGAAGGCAATAACAATTATAATGGCATATGCAACCAATTAATTTATAATTATGATTTATAAAACTTTAACTATCAATAACCCCCCAGCAGTAGACGGAAGTGGTTTAAAGTGCCATTAACCCATATGTATTATCATGCAATTGCAAACATTATACACATACATCATCAGGTCCCCGCTCTGCTAATAGAACACCACTCCAACACTAAACAACAACAAAATTAATAATAACAAATTTGTACATGTACAAGTAACTGTATACATGTATGTATGCTGCCAGGGGGCCACGACTGAATAATACTTTGCCCCCTGACGTAAATCTACCGAGTGCCTAGTGTCCAATATATGTAGTTTATTGACTCTCCCTCCAAACAGCTAGCACAATATCAATACGATTGAATGAGATTGCGGCAGGTGTGGTTTAGTGATGACAGGCTTCACCCACTTCCTATCCTCTTTAATCAAACAAGTGGGGCTCGTTAGTCCACAGTTAAAGTACTCAAAGTGATTGGACGTCAAACATGTACCCTGTACCTTCTTGAAACTGAGACCCAACCTTAGGACAACCATATCCTCCCAATATTAATAAAGTGCTGCCGTGCCTATGTTTGTTCTTCATCATCGGCTCATTTGATCCATCATTTGGTACTAATTAATTCTCTCCAGGATTGGCTGTATTGATGAGCACTATTATAGTGAATGAACATACCA